GGCCCTTAGGTGCCAATTAGAACCGGCAGAGCCTGTGCTGTGCTGAGATTGGTCGGTGCCAGTCACTTTGTCCTGCATGCTGGTGGTCTCACTACCCCACCTTGGCAAGCTGGGCAGTGGATGGATCTCCAGGGTAGGAAAAACCACTGGGGTGGCCATTTCCTCAGGCAAGTGGGAGGTCTTGATATTTTCAGTCTGTCTCCAGCCACCAATCAGTACTTTCAATCCAAATATGTCCACCTCTGGGTGGGAAGGTGGCTCAGTGGTAGAGTGCCTGTCTAGCGTGCATGAAGCCCTGGGTTCGATTCCTCAGTACCACATACACAGAAAAAGCCGGAAGTGATGCTGTGGCTCAAGTGGTAGAGTGCTAGCCTTGAGCAAAAGAAGCTCAGGGACAGTGCCCAGGCTCTGAGTTTAAGCCCCAGGACTGGAAGAAGAAAAAAAAAGATAAAACAATTATGTCTACCTCTCCGTTAAGGCTGGTCTTCTGAAGACAGTGGCCACATCACACAGGCCTCAGTTCCCCACACGGTGCCACACTCATTCAGAAGGGCGAGATTGGGAAGTCGCTGCACGCCAAGCCCTTTCCATGACTGATCTCATTCACGCCTGAGCACCATCTGTGGGGTGGGCCAGCACGAGCTTCCTCTTTCAATAAGAGGGAAAAGAAGGCAGGGCACCTGTTCACCAAGATCCGTGGCGCCCTGGCCCGGGCAGATGGATAGGTTGGCCTGGGTGTTTCTGGAGAGTTGAGCACTCAGGCTGTGTAAAGAGGTCACCCCTGGCACTCCTCGGCAGTTGGCACCCACGCCTCTAGCGCCAGCTCTTTCTTACCTGCTCCACCATGGATGACACTGTGGCAGCACCCAGGACATCGGGAGGGCGTGGCAGCTGCCCCTGGTCAGCACCCGGGGAGCACTGCTCTCGCTCCCACCAGCCGCCTGGTTGTGGGGTTCCACCTCCAGGTCCTTTGAGCGGGTGCTGGCAGCCTTCAGGAGAAGACCTGGGCTGCCCCTCCAGCAGCAGCCCCCGGAGCCTGGACAGGGGAAAAGTGGGCTCACTGTCACCCCTACCCCCGCCGCCAACTGGAGGCACAATCTAGACACAGAAAAGTGGCCCTGGGCAAAAGGTGCCAGCAGGCAGTTGGCTCCCCAAAGCAGAAAAGCTAATGGATTTCCCCTCGTCTTGATCCGTTTTCTGCTGCTATCCCATTGTCCCACAGACCAAGCTATGAACAACCCGAGTGTGTTTATTTAGCTCATGGTTGGAGGCCGGGAAGTCGCAGAGCTGTGGCATGACGTGGCAGCAAAGCCAGTGGGCAGGAGAGGCAGTCAGCCCCCCTCTCCCATCGACCAGGGTCCCCGAATTCACTTGGTAACTACATTGTCCTGTGGTCACAACATTCATCCATTCATCACCTAGCCACCTCTTAGAAACGCTGCCTCTTAGTACTACTACAATGATGATAGAGTTTCAACCTGAGTCTTGCGGGGGGGGGGGGGGAGGGGAACATTCCCACTATAGGCATCCTCAGGTCATTTGGGGCATGATCTCTTGAGAGAGAAGCTCTCATGGATGGACCTTATTCCAAGGAACTGAGCCAGTGTGGAAGTCAAATAGCTCCACTTCCTATCCTGCTGCTAGTGAATGGAGCCCCCAGGTTCTCTCTCTCGGTCCTTTGTCAGGATTCATCCTCCTCCCACACCCTCTGCTGGGGCCCAGGCTTTGCCTTTCGCATAGGCACACCACACCCGGGCCCAAACGGCCAGAGCCCATGGCTGCCAAAGCCAGTGACATGCCTACATCCCCCCACTCCTACTTTGAATCACAGCCCGAGCCTTTCATACCAACTGGCACAAATGGACTTGTTGCGCCCGCCGCCATCCCTTTAATGGAACAATTCCCACTCCTACCCATGTTCCGTAAATTTAATTAGTGTTGAAAAGCAGCTTATTTGGCAAGATGATCAGTTTTTAACCTGGGTAAACGACTTCCTTTATGACTATAAATTAAGCACGTTCTATCCTTTTTCATGCATCACGGTCGTCTTCATAAATACTGTAGGCAGTTGCCTGGTGGTCTCACATGGTTACTTTTCCCATTACCGTTTTATCGTCATCCTGATAGGAGTAGGGAATTCATTCTGCCTTAATGACAAGAAGGAAGTGGCAGCGAGGGGCTCCTCTCATGCCCGCCCCGGCCTGGTCCTCTTAACGCTCCACAGGGCCCTAACTGTCAATAGCCTGTGCAAAGGGCAAGAAGACCCAGGGCTGTAAAGCTACTTTTGTCTTAATTGCAAATAATTAGGAATTAAACATTTGCCAGCGGCCAGTTTCCACGACAGAGGCCACCCTGAATGTTCTCCAAGTCTTCAGTGGCCACAGGTGGGCACAAATGTTTTCTTAGCCTTGACCGACAGGAATGCCATGGGCAGGGAGAGGGGAATGTCACCTGCAAGCTAATCGACGTGGGCATTGGATGTAGCCCGCGCAGCACCGGTCCTCAGAGGTGATCCCTTACAATCTGGACACAAAGGAGTTACTAATAGGGGAACTCAGCTGCCTAGACTGTGCCTGCCTGGCTAGCTGGTAATTCCATGCGGCCCCCACGCCTCTCCCCAGGCCAGTCCCGAACTGGCCCTAAATAGCAGCACTAAGTCGTCATCAAGGTCAGCTCTTAAAACCATGGTGGTGCTTAAAACCTGAGTGCCTTAGAACCACATGAGACCCCAGGCTTAGCATCTGTGGGGCCTCCCTGAGACCAGAGTTTGGGGCAGATACCCTCAAAGAGGAAATCCACCCCTGGGTCAAGTTGAAGCTGGATTGCCAGAGGGAGAAAGCCGATGGGGTTGATAGGTAGGGATCAACATAGCTAAAGCAAAAACTGCATGGCAGAGGCTGAAAGGCCAGAGGCCCAAAGACATAGGCTGTTGTGGTAAGCCCATTAGTGGATTCCCATCCTCCTTGGACAAGGAAGTTAATAAAATGACCTAGTGGCAACACTTTGTGTCCTCACCTTGTTGTGGGAAAGAAACAAAGGCTGGTATTTTTAGAGCCACGTTAGTTTCTTCTCATAGCCACCAGATCTTTCTAGAATAACCCATTTTCCAAGGAGAACCATGCTAATCAAAGGCACTCTGAAGTAAAATCAAGCAGCAGAAGCTGCCCAGTGGGTCCCCCAACCCAAAGCCTCCCAGGCCCGGACGGTGCCTTCCTCTCCCTTCCCTTCCTACCTACCCCTGGGCAGCCTCCACAGGGAGCCTCCATGCTGACACCCAGACAGCAGAGTGGATAAAGGAGACTCGCACAGCCTACCCGGGATCTGCACCCTTACACTACACAGAGCCGTGCCGACCTTCTGAGTTTATTATGATTCAAGAAAAAGTCAATATTTCCTAGCTTGCCAAGGCCTGGGGAATTTAAATGAGTTATTGGAGCAAGCAGTTAATCTGCCGATAACTGATATTTTTTTTCCCCTTTCAAATCTATAATGATGAAAAACAGACTTAACAAAAACACAAGACAAGGAGGCTTATTCTTTCCCCCCACCCCCAAAACCCCCTCCCTCCCATCTCTACTTTAGATGTTTTAATCACAAGCAACAGGAGCTGGACCTAAAGGATGGGGTGGGGGGAGACTTGGCCCTAGGGTCTTTTCTGTCTTGCTGAATATGTGGAAGGTGATTGATTTACACTTCAAGCAAAGACTTCGGTGGCCCTGATGTTTACATTCATGTTTTAATCATCTGTATGTTGATAGAACTCTTCTGTAATTCTCAACTTTCCCTCTGTTTTCATTCATGGTGCGTGGCGATCCTGGGCTTCCCTGGGCTCCCACCATGGAGTGTGATATTGGGTACAGATGCCTTCCAGCCAGCCCCTCTCTCCTCTGGGGTGTCTTTGGGGGGAGGGGTCATGTACAGGGCAACACCCCCAAACAGTGTGGCAGCTGCCTCTCTCCACATCTCAGCCTTCTTGTCCACAGCTACAGCAGTGTACTGGAAAAGCTAGGGGAAACAGGGAGGGGAAGGCTACTGGTGGCTTTCGCCTCTCTCTTAAGTGACATGGCCAACTATGGTCTCCCCAAGGAGAGAAGGTCAACCTCGGGCCTCCCTACACAGGCTTTCCCCACCTAACCTGCACTTGAGACGACTCTGGAGGGGCTTTCCACACCCACAGCATCAACCCCCAGTCCCCTCAGACCACACCCTGCTTCCTAGCCCTGTTCTACACCAAGCTCTCCCTCCCTCCCCTCCCATCTCCTTGAGACCTGCAGATGCATCTCAGAGAGAGCCCTTCCACTCTCTGCCTACAGCAAAATGGACCCTTCCCTCCTTTACCCTTCTCATTCATGACTCCAAAAGGTAGCTCCCTGTCCTGGGTTCCCAGAGCTCTTTGCCCGGCCTAATCTCATGGCCCTTGTCCCATTTCTGTCCCTAATGAAAGTTACATCTTGCATGTTTGGCATCCATCACCTTACTGAATCCCCAAGTCAGAACAAGACAGAGTCATGGCTTGTTCAGCCTCGGGATTCCTCCTGGCCCAAAGTCATTCCAAGCCAAAGGAAAAGCAAGAATGAGGAAGGGAGGGGAGGGTTGATAATGAGCGACTCTGACAAAGAGCCATCCACTTCAATACGTTTCTCATGCAGGCAGTGTCTCGGGGAGGGGGGGCTGGTGGCAATGGTAACATGCTCTCTGACCTCTGCCACAAGGCACCACATAAGGAGTACTGGATGGCTAGATTTTTTTTTTGTATCCTGCCTATGGATCCAAGGATGGGCAGGTACTGTGATCAGGGATGCTCAGAGTGACTGAGCCATTAAGACCCTGAGCTGTGGACAGCCAGATGTCCTGCTCAGTACACTCGGAACCCCCACACTCCAGCCCAGGTGGGCCTTGGGCTCACAGAAAGATGGCACCTCTCCTGGCTCAGGATCTGAAAGAGCCACGTAGGAAGCTCCTCCTGCAGCTGACCCCCCGTGTTTTCTGTGTGTCTCCAGGGCTTTCCACCCACCAGCTGCCAGGCTCCTGCGGGAAGACACTCTGCAGCCGTGGGAGTCGGTGCGTGCTCAGCCCGAAGACGGGGCAGCCCGAGTGCCGCTGCCAGGAGGTGTGCAGACCCCGCTACGTGCCGGTGTGTGGCTCAGACGGGAGACTGTACGAGAACCACTGTGAGCTCCACCGTGCCGCCTGCCTGCTGGGCAAGAGGCTGGTCACCGTCCACAGCAAGGACTGCTTCCTCCGAGGTAGGGAGATGGCTCCTTGAGCTATCGGGGTTTTTTTTTGGGGGGGGTGGGTCTTGTGATGAATGTTCTAGTGTCCTTCCAGCTAATGAGCTGGGTGCTGGGTGTCCGCGACAATGGCATTCCTGTCTGCATCTCACGTCTATAAACTGTATCTCACGCTCTTGGAGCAGCCCTCCTAGAGAGCAGATAACAAGGCGCTATGCATGACCCGACCTAGAGGCCATGTCCACCCAGCGTGGAGCAGGAAGCCATACTGGGCAGACACCAGCATGGTGGTCTCCAGCGTGGCGGGACTCCAGCTCTGTCCTGGAGAGGTTGAGGATGGGAAAGACTTCCACACCCTTGCCCACTCAGAACGGCCCTGAGCATGACCAAGCACGGCTAGCAGACCAGGACTCCATTCTGTGCACTCATATCGTCTTAGCACCTAACCTCAGCGAGGAGGGCTAGGAAAGTGCTCGGTAATAAGCCACAGCTGCGCACCAATGTAAGGTAGAACGCCTGGTCCCACGTTGGCACGACCCCAATCAATAGTGCGAGCCACCGGAACCCATAGAAATATTCTTCATCCCAAAGTAGCCATGCCCGGATGCATTATCAGGACGCGAATGGCAGAGAAGGTGGAAGCAGAATGTGGGCAGATGGGCGCAGCCTCACCCGCCCAGGCCGCAACGGGGGGGGGGGGTCTCTGGAGATGGGAGAGCTGCCCTGGGGCTGTATCAGGTCATCAACCTGCTTGAGTTGGACCAGGAAAGGAAGGAGAAGGCTTCAAAGAGCAGCCTGTCTGCAGAGCTTGCGCTGTGAGGGGCTCTGAGTGTGTATGTGACACAAGACACACAGGTGTGCCAAGTAGTCTCAACGGAGGTTTCGTTAGTCTCCACTGCCTCTACGCAGGATCACCTGCACCCCTATAGTGTGCCAGGCTCTTCCCTCCCTCCCTCCCTCCCTCCCTCCCTCCCTCCTGGTCTCCCTCCCCTCTGTGGCCTTGGAAGCACTGGCTCCGCAAAGGCACATTTAGCCTGTGACGGGAATTGTCCCGGACACTTTCATGGCTGTGCTCATGATGCTAATGCCGAGGTGCTTCAGAATCATGAGACGCATTATGCAAATGAGGCCACAATGAGCCGAGGACAAATGTTCCCCAGTCTGCAAGCGCTGCCCAGATGCTCTGCCTGCCAATTCCCCAGCAACCGTGCGCACTAAAACACTTGACCAGTTGCTCCAGCTTTATTGGCCGTGTTGAATTTTATAGACTGATGTTCCATTCTCTAGTTTCCAATATTCCCTCTCCCTGCGCCCCCCCCCTCTACTGCTCCCCCCCCCCCTAGATTGCCTCTCTCTGAAAGGTTTTTATTTCTGCATCAAGAGTGTGGCCATCAATTCCCTGGCCATCGGTTATTCAAACCGCATTTCTCATTTCACATGAGCAAAAAGAACCACCTTCACAAACCCTGCCGCAGCCAGGGATGATGGGGGTGACCAGAGTGCCAGAGGGTGGGGGCCGGGCCTCAAGGCGATTAGGGTACAGCTCTGCTTCCTTGCTGATTGAATTTACCCACAGAATCCTCCTGATGTGCCACAGAGGCTAGACTCTGTGAATCTGCCCTCCTCAAGACCACCCCCTGCCACACACACACACAGAAGGGACCAAGTGCCTGTGGGTCTCCCGAAAACACTGGGTTGCATCCAAGCTGTGGACACTTCCTAGCCACACACTTCCCTGGGCCTAGCCTTTGCCTATAAAATGGGCCTGCCATCTTTCTCTGTGTCTCTACCTCCTCTGGCTATGGAAAGAAATGAAGGAAGTAGTCCGAGACCACACAGCATAGCACCTGGCCCATGGCAAGTGTTCAGTGTTAATGATAATTTGCCATCATTGTTTATTCTTATCTAATGTGGCCCGAGGTCTAGAACAGAACAAAGCCCAATTTGTGAAAGGGTCCCGGGACACGGGAACAAGAGCCCTGCCTGGCCAGTTTCAAGGGGCCCAGGCACCTTCATGGTAGCTGGAGAACAGAGAAGGAGGTGCTGGGTGTTCAGGCCCTGGAGCTGGCCTACGTCGAGATGCCTGCCTGGAACCAGACTTCCCTACCTTCTCACCTGGCCCAGGGCTCCAGGCTGTCTGGAGAACCTCAGTTCCTTGTGCTCAAGGGGGGCTCCAGTCCCAATCGGCAGCAGGCCCAGCTTCCCTCTTCTCTACCAGGGAGCAGGAAGACGTGAATGCCAAAGGCTCAGTCCAGAACAGGGTATGGGGAGGCTCAGGAACAGAGAGGATGACTTCTTACGATTTCTATCTCCCAATGAGAGCAGCCCCTGCTTAGTGTCAGCTTGAGCCACATGGATGACAATTGGCCATTTGTCCCACAGCTAAGAGTTATTAATACAGGAAACTTGAAAAATGCCCTTCCTACCCCCCCTCACCCCCACCCCCATGCAAACACAATTCTCTAAAACCATCCATCCTCCCATTTCCATTCCTCCCAGACTTGACAAAGAGAACTTAGGAGTTCATCCCCTGGGGCTTGGCCTGCCCCATTGGATGGAGTGTGTTAGGGAAGTGAAGGGGCGTTGTACATGGTGCTAGGCCAGGCCATAACACATTGGAACTCACCCAAATGCCATCAGCGCCCCCCCCAGCCCCCTGCTGCAAGGTTATTGCTGAGGACTGATTGGGGACACGTGGCCCTCTCCACCCCACATGAGAGACCAGTCAGAATCCTAAGCCCCATTTATTAGGAAAGAAAAGTAAAATAACCTTCTCGTATCACTTTCCAGTTGCTATGGAAATAGGCTTCCCTGCGAATGCAGAATGAAATAGAGTATCATTTAGGAATCTTCAATATGTGTAAAAGTCAGGCCAAACCCCGAAAGATGGCCTCCCCTCGTCTGCGGCTTTCATCTCCCATCTCCTAAGATACAAGCCGGGGGTCTCTGTCTTCAAAGTCAGAGGAACGGAGGGACATGGCGTCGATACTGTATTTCCTTTCCTTCCTTAAGGCAAAATCAGAGTCATGCTTTTCCTCAGCACCAAACCTCCAACAAAAGAGAGTTACTAAGATCCGGGGACAGGATTCTCTGCTTAACCTCACGCGGAGTCTGTGTTTTTAGAAGTTATCTCGTTGGCAGCGCGTTCCTGCGCGCACGCTGGTCGGTGTTCGCAAGTTATTTCACTGAGTTGGTTTTGAATTATCCTCCCACACTGCCCAAGAAGACAAGCTTGCTTGCCTTTCAGCACTCAGTCCCCATGCCCGCGTGGCATGCTACCAGCTGACCCAGCGTCATCGTTGGGCAAGGTTTCCAAACAAACCATGAACTTAGGGAAGCACAAAGGCCATTTTAAATAGACCTTATAGATTCTCCTATCTGAACGGCATTTACAGGCGCCCTTGGGAGCAAGTCCCAAAATAAGTGATGTCAGAGGAAGTGATTTCCACTTATGCGGGGGGCGCGCGGGGAATGGAACATGGTATATATATTCAGTAATCTTGTTCTATCTTAAATGTTACTAAACAGGCATGAAAACTCAATGTTTTATTGCAGATTAGCAGAGCAGATAGATCGTGGACCAAAAAACCGTTTTGGGGGGGTAGGGAGTAAGGGGAGGTGTTAACTGGGGCCTCCATCTTGCTGTACATGTCCTGCCTCTTGAGCTGCACTCCAAACCCCGAAGAACCTTCTTTATTCTTTTCTTCTTTCGTGTGTGTGTGTGCACGTGCACACGCACACACACATACCCCTGGGCTTGCTGTTACTGAAGCTTGAACTCAGGGCCAAGGCACTATCCCTTAGCTTTTACACTCAAAGCCCATGCATGCTCCGCCACTTGAGCCACCACCCCCACTTTAAGCTTTTTGCTGGTTAATTAAAGATAAGAGTCTCACAGATCTTCCTTCCTGGGGCTGGCCTTGAATTGTGATCCTCAGATCTCAGCCTCCTGAGGAGCTAAGATCACAAGCGTGAACCACCAGTGCCCGGCTCTTGTTTTATTGCTACTCCTCTTGTTACCCTGAATCTTGGTGCTTTAAGAGCTTAACTTAAACTAGACTGCACACCTTACTCACCAGATGGGTAAGGTGGGTGGATCCTGAAGAGTGAGGGAGGGACTTGCTAGGTTGTAAGAGTAGGAATGGCTTTCTAGAGGTATAGGCATGAAATATTCCCAGGGTCAGACAAGAGTCAGTAATTACAATTTGGCTGGCCGGGAGAGGGGGGGAAATAGGGGGGCAGGAAGAAGGGTATTATTGGGTTAAATGGATAGAAGTAGACAGGAAAATCCAGGTGAATTACTTAATGGCCTGACTGGGTGTCATACGTCCAATTATCTCAATTCCAGTATAGGGACCTTAAGGTCTAGAAAGGACCCAAGCCTGTGGTCCAGTTTTTTGGCATTGCCACTGGCTCTTCAGAAATACACCCCAGGCATGGTTGCTCATGTCTTTAATCCCAGCTATTCAACAGCCAGAATTTAGGAGGATTATGGTCCAAGGCCACAGTCGGTCTCCTCGACCAACAAAAATCTGGATGTAGTGGTACAGGACCGCTTCTTTCATGGCTGTCATCCCAGCCACAAAGAAAGTATAAATAAGAGGGCAACTCTCCAGCCTAACTGGGGGAAAAAAATTATTTGGAAAATAACTAGAGCAATAAAAAGTGGGGGGGGCTGATTTATAGCATAAATGGTGGAGCACCTGACTCGCAAGCGCAAGGCCTTGAGTTCAAATTCTTGTACTACCACCAGAGTAAATAAATCATAATTATTAATCACAGCAATCATTTTTAAAGTGTCTCCAGCTTTGGGACTGTTTTAATTCAAGTCCCAGCAAGGCATGTGTCCAGCAAATGCAGTTGTTTCCTCCTTCCAGCCTTCCCCAGGGGACTTTGTGGCAAGAAGGGAAGGCTCCAGAACCATTGCCTGTAGGAAAGACCTGCTGGGCCTTGTAGATCAGCAGAAAGAGAGACTCTGAGGCTTTTTCCAGGGCAGGCTATGTCCATCATACCAC